GTTGTGTGGCGTGGCTAGGTTGTGTGGCGTGGCCAGGTTGTGTGGCGTGGCTAGGTTGTGTGGCGTGGCCAGGTTGTGTGGTGTGGCCAGGTTGTGTGGCGTGGCCAGGTTGTGTGGCGTGGCCAGGCTGTGTGGCGTGGCTAGGTTGTGTGGCGTGGCCAGGTTGTGTGGCGTGGCCAGGATGTGAGTCGTGGCCACCACTAAGTCTTAGAACCACTCTAAGTCCTTGAATGAAATACACGTACAAGTACACACACACACACACACACACACACACACACACACACACACACACACACACACACACACACACACACACACACACACACACGCACACACAGTACTATAGTTGGTACTTTCAAAGCGTTATACGACAAAGAGTGCTGGGAAGACAGGACACCACGAGAGTAGCTCTCATCCTGTAACTGCACTCAGGTAATTACACACATTTACATTTATATTATCGTACGGATTAATATGTCATATATATATATATATATATATATATATATATATATATATATATATATATATATATATATATATATATATATATACATTCAAATTAAGCGAGATCATAAGTTCATGTAAAGATGCCACATATTGACGTGAGCTAATCATGAAGGGGCTTCAAGTTCATGTCAAGTGGTGATGTGAAGCTTTATGTGATCACGTGATGACGAGGTTCCTCTTTCAAGTTCACAGGTTCACGCAAGGTCGTGAGATTATCTTAGACCAGGGAGAGATATATGGCTCTGGAGCATTGCAAAATCACATTATCGTGCAAGATCGCGGGCTATTGGAACGTCACGAGACCGTGGGATTAAGAGTTTCTGAGACTAGTTAAGACGTCGTGCGATTTCATCGATTTTAGGACAGATATGACCAGAAAGTTAGATACGACCAAGCAGATATGTCCAGAAAGTTACATAAGACCAAGCAGATATGTCCAGAAAGTTACATAAGACCAAGCAGATATGTCCAGAAAGTTACATAAGACCAAGCAGATATGTCCAGAAAGTTACATAAGACCAAGCAGATATGACCAGAAAGTTACATAAGACCAAGCAGATATGTCCAGGAAGTTACATAAGACCAAGCAGATATGTCCAGAAAGTTACATAAGACCAAGCAGATATGACCAGAAAGTTACATAAGACCAAGCAGATATGTCCAGGAAGTTACATAAGACCAAGCAGATATGTCCAGAAAGTTACATAAGACCAAGCAGATACGTCCAGAAAGTTACATAAGACCAAGCAGATACGTCCAGAAAGTTACATAAGACCAAGCAGATATGTCCAGGAAGTTACATAAGACCAAGCAGATATGACCAGAAAGTTACATAAGACCAAGCAGATATGACCAGAAAGTTACATAAGACCAAGCAGATATGTCCATAAAGTTACATAAGACCAAGCAGATATGTCCAGGAAGTTACATAAGACCAAGCAGATATGACCAGAAAGTTACATAAGTCCAGGGTGGATATCGTTGGGCCGCTTTAGTTCTAAGAATTTTACTAAAGTGTCGTGCATATTTTCTTTAGGTTATGTTATTAGGTCATAAGGTCCCATTAACAAATGAGACAGTCATTAAGAATCTTCGTAGGGTATCTTAGGGGAGCGGAAGAGAACTGACAATCCCTTAACATCACGTGCTAGCAGTGTGAGGACACTGTACTCAGGCTTATGATAAGTTTATTTTAGGTCGCGTTGAAACGCTTTAATACACCGAAATAAACATGCAGCCATATGGATGTAAGGTCTTGAAATTGTCGTGACAAGAGCGTGAATAGTAGTGACTGGACGATCAGGTGAATTGCCAGAGGTGTTATGTGCGCGTGGCATTCAACCTCGTGACGCAGGTACACCATAATGACCGCCTGACGTTAAGACGATCATGCAATGTCAAAGGAAGTCATGCCAAGACGTGGAGCGCTCGCTGGAGACAACTGCTTGCTGGGGCATTTATAGGGAAGTAGAACTGAGCTGGTAATGCTTAGTGGTGTATTCCAAGGGGACTGGAACTGATCTAGTACTGCTTAGGGGTGTATTCCAGTGAACTGGAACTGATTTAGTACTGCTTAGGGGGTGTATTCCAAGGGACTGGAACTGATCTAGTACTGCTTAGGGGTGTATTCCAAGGGGACTGGAACTGATCTAGTACTGCTTAGGGGTATATTCCAAGAGGACTGGAACTGATCTAGTACTGCTTAGTGCTGTATTCAAGGAGACTGGAACTGAGTTAGTGTGACTGGTGTGTGTGTACACACAATTTGGCAACACAGTGCAGGATAAAGGTTCCAAGAGATTCCGTGTTGTTCCTGTGGTAAATTTATAATCCTTTTCCCTTATTTGCATAAGGTCAACACTTTAGCGACTTACATGCACAAGGAATAGCAGCGTTATTTGTCAACGAAATGTGTTAGACCGACACAAAGCACATTAGAATGACGCCAACGGCCACGGAAAAAGACAGTTAAGTCCTATCCTTCGGAATATCCCATAATATAATTAACAGTACTCTGGTAATGCTTCACACCGGTGAGGTACCCCGCACCGAATTTGCAATCTTAAAAATATATATGACAGGTAATGCTGGGTAGAGAATGCCAGAGAGCATGGAACCACAGCACCACAGCAGGGGGGGGGGGGGAGGAGAGAGCATGGAACCACAGCACCACAGCAGGGGGGGGAGGAGAGAGCATGGAACCACAGCACCACAGCAGGGGGGGAGGAGAGAGCATGGAACCACAGCAGGGGGAGGAGAAAGCATGGAACCACAGCACCACAGCAGGGGGGGGGGAAGAGAGAGCATGGAACCACAGCAGGGGAAGCAGAGAGCATGGAACCACAACCCCACAGCAGGGGGAGCAGAGAGCATAGAACCACAGCAGGGGAAGCAGAGAGCATAGAACCACAGCACCACAACAGGGGGGAGCAGAGAGCATGGAACCACAGCACCACAGCAGGGGGGGGGAAGAGAGAGCATGGAACCACAGCAGGGGAAGCAGAGAGCATGGAACCACAACCCACAGCAGGGGGAGCAGAGAGCATAGAACCACAGCAGGGGAAGCAGAGAGCATAGAACCACAGCACCACAACAGGGGGGAGCAGAGAGCATGGAACCACAGCACCACAGCAGGGGGGAGGAGAAAGCATGGAACCACAGCACCACAGCAGGGGGAGCAGAGAGCATGGAACCACAGCACCACAGCAGGGGGAGGAGAGAGCATGGAACCACAGCACCACAGCAGGGGGAGGAGAGAGCATGGCACCACAGCAGGGGGAGCAGAGAGCATAGAACCACAGCAGGGGAAGCAGAGAGCATAGAACCACAGCACCACAGCAGGGGGGAGCATGGCACCACAGCACCACAGCAGGGGGGAGCATGGCACCACAGCACCATAGCAAGGCTAACAACGGGACCAGATACCGTCCTCTAATTACTTCCACCAAGTATTTTGTACCGTAATATCTCACATAACCCCGAGCAATGATTATATTTCATCCTTATATATATATGTAAATATAATTAGTCAGGTAATATAACGCTAAACATTTATTGAATCACGGGAATATTTTCTGCCCAAATTCGTAATGATTTTCAGAAATGTCATCCGGGTAATGTAACTAAATGTGTTTGTAATTACCAGCTGCGGCCCGGCCCTGAACGTTGTGCGCACTTAAGGGATTTACTAGTAATATTCTTCACTTAAAAATTGCCTACATTTTCAAAATTGTTCTCTCCTACTCATAATTCATGACGTGATTACAAGCGGTGACAATACGTATGAGTGGTTTCATCTACTTGTGGCTGCAGGATGGAGATTTTAGCTCTTGGTCCCCGGCATTCCAGCTGTCTGTTGTCTAATGCAATGACTTCCGACCTATTTTCTTTATTACATGTTATATAAGGCACTACGGGCTCACCATAGCCCGTGCTACTTGGAACGTTTTGTTCCAGGTAGCGAATCTTTAACAACAACAACATACTTGTTATAGGACTGCTACTGACCATCTCCATGGTGTAACGCATAGCAGTTGTGTACCTCACTGTGACTTATTTACTGCTAGGTGAAGAGCTGCATCAGGTGAAAGGACGCATTGCTCAAACGCTTTTGTCGTATCGCGGGGATCGTTCCAGGGATTCTTGGCGTGAGTGTACTCACCTATTTGTGCTTGCGGGGGTTGAGCTTTGGCTCTTTGGTCCCGCCTCTCAACTGTCAATCAACTGGTATACAAATTCCTGAGCCTACTGGGCTCTATCATATCTACATTTGAAACTGTGTATGGAGTCAGCCTCCACCACATCACTGCCTAATACATTCCATCCGTTAACTACTCTGACACTGAAGAAGTTCTTTCTATCGTCCCTGTGGCTCATGTGGGTACTCAGTGTGTGTGTGTGTGTGTGTGTGTGTGTGTGTGTGTGTGTGTGTGTGTGTGTGTGTGTGTGTGTGTGTGTGTGTGTGTGTGTGTGTGTGTGTGTGTTTACTAGTTGTGTTGTGTTTACTAGTTGTGTTTTTACGGGGGTTGAGCTCTGCTCTTTCGGCCCGCCTCTCAACTGTCAATCAACTGTTTACTAACTACTATTTTTTTTTTTCCCCACACCACACACACACACCCCCCAGGAAGCAGCCCGTGACAGCTGACTAACTCCCAGGTACCTATTTACAGCTAGGTAACAGGGGCATTCAGGGTGAGAGAAATTTTGCCCATTTGTTTCTGCCTCGTGCGGGAATCGAACCCGCGCCACAGAATTACGGATCCTGCGCGCTATCCTCCCCCCTACGAGGCCCCCACCAGGCACACGAGGCCCCTTGTGTGTGTGTGTGTGTGTGTGCGCGTACGTGTGCGTGCGTGTGTATTTTAACTAAATCACAGAAAAGTAGCAGAAACTATTCAAAAAATAATACCACAATGAACCCCCTCAAAAGATTCCCCGATACCTACACTATCTGCATTCTGTTATCAGTGACACTAGCTGAATAACCAATGACTTTACAAAGTGTCACAGTGGCCACGCCCAAACTCTTTGCCAACCGCTGTGCCACACTAACAGTCACGGTATATATGCATGCATCTTAATATGTATATATGTACTTTGGCAGAATGTCTACATAATGTATGTAGGCAGTATGTATTCATAACATATGTAAGAAGTATGTATACAGATTGCATGCAGGCAGTATGAATATATAATGTATATTGGTAATATGCAAACTTAATGTATATATGCACTCACAATATTTGTATGCATGTATAATGTACATTTAAATTCATAAGGAATGTATGTATGTATTTTATATTACTGAGTTCAACTATATATTTTCCGGAACGTATTTTGTACCAACAAAAATAATAACTACAGGAAATGAAGAACCAATCTAATAGAGGCAAAATACATCTGAACGACCATTAGACCTTAATTCGTGGCTACAACAAACTACCAATATTGCGAAACTGCTAGGAATTCGTGAGGCGAATTTTCAAGCTCTTTCACGTGCTTGTGAAGGAAATCTAATTTGTTGTAGTATAAAGCTCTTGCAAACGGACAGAGCCCCAACTGACGGCGCAGAGCCTCTAGGTCGTCTACAGCTGGAGCTCCAGGGGGCCTCCACTTCGCCTACATCTGGGGATCCAAAGGTTTTAGGTCTCACACAGCTGAAGGTCCAGAGGGCTCCAGTTTGCTTACATCTGGGGAACCAAAGGTTTCAGGCCCCCACACAGCTGGAGCTCCAGGGGCGGCAAGGCTCCAAGCCGCCAACAGCAGGAACACTGAGGACCAAGTTAATAATTGCTCTCTCACTTTGTTTTGGAAAGTTCTGTCCCGACGTGGCCAGAGGGTACGGTGTTATTACGCCTTCTTCAGACAGAGGTTCCCTGCGAGCCTAGCGCCTGTCATATTTCCAGGTCAGGTAAGTGCATGAAGACTGCGCTCGCAGCTTTCAAGATCATTGTAGGTGTCTCGGGTTCAAATGTTTGATGCGGGGAAAATGGATGTTGTCAACGCGAGCGAGGTCGCTGGGTCGTCCGAGGTTAACAACCGTGTGGTTCATTAAGACAAAACGTAGCCTCAGATGTTAGGAGGAGGAGGAGGAGGATTGTGGGGCAAGTTGTATAGCAAGGTGGTGTGAACATTGTCGTCGGTAAATATAGTCTCCCTCCCCCCTCACCCGGAGGTTGTAACGAAAAAGTTTGCGAATTTATGTTTAGCTTTTGGGGTTTCCTATCACGACTCCACTACACATCTGTTTTGTTCAGTGTCGCGCGGACACGCACGCACTCACAATTACACACACACACACACACACACACACACACACACATACACGGATTCACACACACACACAAACACAGTGTCAGAGTAGTTAACGGATGGAATGCATTAGGCAGTGATGTGGTGGAGGCTGACTCCATACACAGTTTTAAATGTAGATATGATAGAGCCCAGTAGGCTCAGGAACCTGTACACCAGTTGATTGACAGTTGAGAGGCGGGACCAAAGCGCCAAAGCTCAACCCCCGCAAGCACAAATATGTGAGTACAAATAGGTGAGAACACACAGGTCCTCGCAGACAGCTCTCTGGGGTTCATAATCCTACGGGCAGAAGTTTGATTCAGATACAGGTTTGGGTAGAGTCAGGAATGACTGTATTGCCCTTCAAAATAACCTAGAATTTTTTCAAAGGAGCAACATATGACAGATGGAATTCAATGTAAATAGACGTCAAGTAATGGAAAGTGGAACAAGGCAAATGAAGCCACACTTAACCTACAAGTTATGTGTAAAGATATATAACATTCTGACGAGGAAAGAGATCAAGGAGTGGTTCTGGACAGTAAGCTTTCACCAGAGCAACACATAAAGTGCACTGTGAGACAACCATATGTTGCACTAACAAATTTCAGAACCGCGATTAGATCTACGTATGAAGAAATATCATATACATCACCCAAGAAACTGGCCATAACGTGCTGACCCCGGACACTGGCTCAAGCCCCATCCCGCTCCAAAGATTTTCTCATTACATTTATAATTACTGTTCACGCAACATGTGACCCCAAAATTGGACTATGCACCAACAGTGTGGTGCCCACAGCTCAATAAGCACGAACTAGAAAGAATGCAAAGACATGTTATTTACAGAGATCGTGAAATCTATAGCCATGTGGAGACATAGGAGACGCTGAGCACCCCAAGGCTGCAAGACTGAGGGCAACAAGGGGACATGATTACCTACAAAACAGCAACAAGAATCGAGAAAATAAAAAAGGAGGAATCTTTGAAACTTGCCACTTCAAGCACAAGAGGTCGTAAATTTAAGCTGAGAAAGACAACAAAGGTGCCGGGAAAAAAGAAACTAGAAAGTTCTCTTTTGCGAACATAGAGTTGTAGAAGACTGGAATGAGTTAAGTGAGAATGTGATGGATGCCAAAACCGTCAGTAGTTTCAAAATGTTATACGACAAAGAGTTCTGGGAAGACGGTACTCCACGAGCAGACACCTCCCCTCCCGTAACTCCACTTAGGTAATTAGCGCATCAGGGTATTTATATTTGTAAAGTTTTTTTGTTACAGGTCATGCTTCTCATTTTCAGTTTTTCAATTTCGGTAAGAATTATCATGAATACTATTTTGTAAAAAACAAAATGCAGCTGAATGCTACGTGTAATATTCTATATCGATACCAATACAGAGTATAATACAGAGTCTATTATAGATTGAAATGAAGAGGTATTAAAATTACTACTTCATTGAAATCGATGACACAATTACGAGGCGATCGCTGCTATTCCATGCTGAGCTGCTCCTCCTCTGCTGTAACCCGAGCCCCTAATGTGTTTCACCACTGTTGTGATCCAATTCTCTGCTGAAATTCGACTCCTTGATGTAATCCATCTGTGCTGTAACCGGACTCACTCCTATGGTTCACCTCCTGCTGGAACCCGACCTCAATTGAGGTTCACCCCTGCTGTGTAACTCAAGCCTTCCCTGTGAGGTCTACCCCCAGTTGTAATCCGACTCTGCTGAAGTCCACCCTTGCTGTAACCCAACCCCCGGTTGTAACCCAACCCCCACTATGTAACCCAACCCCCTGCTGTAACCTAAAGTCCTGCTGTAACACAACCTCAGGCTGTAACCCAACCCCCTGCTGTAACCTGAACCATTTCTCTGGTCATCCTTCTTGCTGTGATCCGCTGCCCACCTTTTGTGGCTGGATAAGCCCTTGTGTTGTGGTGGTGGCGGTCCAAGGTCCTTCGGGTCCTTAACACCCATAAGCACCTTCTCTCACTGCAATTCTTCATCCATTAGTGTTTACGTTCTCCAGGGGCGTCCTCCGTGTCGTTTTTCTTATCCCTTGTAATTAGCTCAAACTTTCGGCAATTTAGATTATTCTCAATTAATTACGGGAGACAGAGCGTGTAATTTGCATATGCCAGACGCGTCTTGGGGCAATTAGCAGAGCAGGGCGCGCTAATTAATTTTTTTCCCTCCCCCTGCACGCATTATAATAGTAATTCTCGACCCCCCCCAACCCCTCCCCCGAATGCCCCCACCGGCTCTTTTACGCAAATTCCCGCGTCTCATGCGGGTAAATAATGAAGGTACTGATGATCTGGTGTAACCCAGAAGTAGGCAAGACTTAATTGGAACGTTATCTGGCCCATTATCTTGCCATTGCCGCCTATTATCTTGCCATTACCGCCCATTATGACCCCGGGCCGACGGTGGGACTGGTGTTGCACCCCGCCGCCGCCGCCGCCACTAACTGGTGGAGTCCTTGACAGGCGGACAGAGAGACATACAGATAGACAGACACCTCCATCTCCCTCGGGTGCAAGATGCTCCTCGCTCGGGGACCCCACCAAACCTTTACTGCCGTTTTTTCTTGTTGCATCTTATATGCGACACACACACAGACACACACACACACACACACACACACACACACACACACACACACACACACACACACACACACACACACACACACTTGAGCGTTTAATCTTCTTGTATTTTTTCGTGCTTTTCTCTCACCTTGAAACGGTTACATATGGCGACGTCTCGTCTGTAAAAACAAAACAAAAACACGCATGCTAACAAGGACATGTTTATGTCCACTCCTTTGGTGGTTACGTGAAATATTGACATATGAAAATTACATGAAAAAAATGATTTCATTGCAAATTTCAGCGTTTCAGTGCAAATTAGAGCCGTTAATCGTGTTTTTTTTCATTACGGTGTTCGTATAATTAACGAAATTATCGTTTTATTTTATGAAAGCCACATTGATTTCCAAAATTGTTATTGAAATGTTTTAATTAGAAAAGCGATTATCAGCACACGCAGGTCAGGGGTTGTCTGCTCATGCTTGGTGTAAGTCTAGCCCCTCACACAGTTAGTGTAAGTCTAGCCCCTCACACAGTTAGTGTAAGTCTAGCCCCTCACACAGTTAGTGTAAGTCTAGCCCCTCACACAGTTAGTGTAAGTCTAGCCCCTCACACAATTAGTGTAAGTCTAGCCCCTCACACAGTTAGTGTAAGTCTAGCCCCTCACACAGTTAGTGTAAGTCTAGCCCCTCACACAGTTAGTGTAAGTCTAGCCCCTCACACAGTTCGTGCAAGTCTAGCCCCTCACACAGTTAGTGTAAGTCTAGTCCCTCACACAGTTAGTGTAAGTCTAGCCCCTCACACAGTTGGTGTAAGTCTAGCCCCTCACACAGTTAGTGTAAGTCTAGCCCCTCACACAGTTAGTGTAAGTCTAGTCCCTTACACAGTTAGTGTAAGTCTAGCCCCTCACACAGTTGGTGTAAGTCTAGCCCCTCACACAGTTAGTGTAAGTCTAGCCCCTCACACAGTTGGTGTAAGTCTAGCCCCTCACATAATTAGTGTAAGTCTAGCCCCTCACACAGTTAGTGTAAGTCTAGCCCCTCACACAGTTAGTGCAAGTCTAGCCCCTCACACAGTTAGTGTAAGTCTAGCCCCTCACACAGTTAGTGTAAGTCTAGCCCCTCACACAGTTAGTGTATGTCTAGCCCCTCACACGCTTGGCATACACACTGCTCGAGATTGGTCTAAATATACACTCTAGAGTCTGGAGTGCAACACATCACAAGTTCAAGTTGGAAAAATTCCACAACTTCATCTCAATGGCTTGCAGTGGAAACAAGATCGTCTTCCTGTGAGAATCGGCGGCCTCCTTCAAACTTCACACAATGCGTCACTAAAAGAGACTCTCTTGGAGTTTCAGCAACCAAACCGGCTCCATCAGAACCCCATCAAGCATTATAGTTGGGACACCCCCATAATGGACTTCGAAGCCGCAAAGTTGTTTGAGGCCGCACGAACACCTCGCGAGTATACTCGACGTGTATTTGTTAGTGCTCCTTATGCTGGGGATTTTCTTTTGACGATCCTCAGGTATGCAGGCGATGGGTCACAATAACGTGGCTGAAGTATGTTGACCAGACCACACGCACTAGAAAGTGAAGGGACGACGACGTTTCGGTCCGTCCTGGACCATCCTCAAGTCGATCTTGAGAATGGTCCAGGACGGACCGAAACGTCGTCGTCCCTTCACTTTCTAGTGTGTGTGGTCTGGTCAACATCCTCAGGTATGTAACAAGCAAATCCCCTCGAGACCATATTTATTCTGTACATCAGTGGCACTCGATCTCGCAGCCCCAATCGACAATGGGTATTTGCAGCAAAGTAAAAACCGTTAAATACATCCTGCATGACCTAAATTGTGGACACTAAGAGATGCCGCAAACAACACGAAATAGCAATAACGCAGAGAATATTCCCAACTCCCCAGAGCCCAACAGAGAGAAAACTACATTTTATAACGTCACAGAATTTCGCCAAACCTTGTTGGTCGTTCGGTTGGAATTACATCATAAAAAAAAATATTATAGACACCTAATAGCATTACGATACTTTCCCATGTTCCTTCCCTTAGTGTAGAATGCAGTTTGAAAGCCACCTCTCCTATCTGAGATTATTACGTCCAGGAGAGACGACATACCGACACTCTGCATCTCGTATGTGGAACTAAGGACAGTATTTCGCTCTTAAGCTTCCTGTAGCAGTATCATGTTTACCTGAGTTTACCTGAGAGGCCCCTAACACTAGTGGCCTCGACGAGGACAGGAAACCAGCGGGTTGTCGAAGGTTCCTCTATTTGCTTTGATAAATGTGTGGGAGAAGTTAGTGTAAGTCTAGCCCCTCACACAGTTAGTGTAAGTCTAGCCCCTCACACAGTTAGTGTAAGTCTAGCCCCTCACACAGTTAGTGTAAGTCTAGCCCCTCACACAGTTAGTGTAAGTCTAGCCCCTCACACAGTTAGTGTAAGTCTAGCCCCTCACACAGTTAGTGTAAGTCTAGCCCCTCACACAGTTAGTGTAAGTCTAGCCCCTCACACAGTTAGTGTAAGTCTAGCCCCTCACACAGTTAGTGTAAGTCTAGCCCCTCACACAATTAGTGTAAGTCTAGCCCCTCACACAGTTAGTGTAAGTATAGCCCCTCACACAATTAGTGTAAGTCACACAACACACAACGGTGGTGGAAATGGTTACATAGGCACATATTCGGTTCAGGAACTGAACTCCAGAGTTCATTTAGCTCAGCAAGTGACAATCATTTTGAAACTGGTTACACAATTGTTAATGTTACAAATGTTACACACACACACACACACTCAACTAGGTGAGTACACACACACACACACACACTCAACTAGGTGAGTACACACACACACACACACACACACACACACACACACACACACACACACACACACACACACACACACACACACACACACACACACACATATATATATATATATATATATATATATATATATATATATATATATATATATATATATATATATATATATATATAATTTTTATATCACAAGTGATTCGACAAGAAGCTCACAACAGTTGTATATAAGTACCAATAAGCGCACCCACTCCACCAACTACCAGTCAGTTTGAGAAAGCGTTGCCTAGAGAGTATAAATTATGAACATGTTACTTATGGGCCCAATACATGAGAGTGTGAATGGAGTCAAGGTGTTAACACAGAGTTCTTCGTGACTCTGAAGCTTTTAATAGGTTAAAACATAGACGACACATGGGGGGGAGAGAGAGAGAGAGAGAGAGAGAGAGAGAGAGAGAGAGAGAGAGAGAGAGAGAGAGAGAGAGAGAGAGAGAGAGTGAGAGAGAGAGAGAGAGAGAGAGAGAGAGAGAGAGAGAGAGAGAGAGAGAGAGAGAGAGAGAGAGAGAGAGAGAGAGAGAGAGAGAGAGAGAGAGAGAGAGAGAGAGAAGCATTGTTTTCAACAATACTCATGTGTAATGTGTGACACATACGTCCATTGTTGAGCATACATGGTAAATGCACAGTGCACTACATGAATTCTCTCATTACCAAGTGCACATTCTACGACAAGTGAGGTAGCATCAACTTACAAGTTCACATTCCACAACAATTAACATACTCCGCAACAAGTACATACTCCGCAACAAGTACATACTCCGCAACAAGTACATACTCCGCAACACCCACATTGCAAGTACTCTCTTTGTAACAAATTCTCTTGATATATTCCTGCAGTATAAAGATTCCGCTATTTCGCTGTTAACAAGAATTTTTCTCTTATTTTCTTTTTCAATTAAAAAATTATATATATATATATATATATATATATATATATATATATATATATATATATATATATATATATATATATATATATATATATATATATATATATTTATTTCGGTTTGCTTGAGCAGAAATATGATCATCCCATGTAACATTGCCTGGATGAGACGCTTGGGTCATCTATTCTTGTCTCTCACGATTCTCCATCACCTCGAAGTTCGTGGAGAGTGAATCTATCCGCGATCTTCACTATTTATTTCACAAATAAATAATCTTCATTTTATATTTCACTACAGTGAAGATGTTCGTTTTTATGGCAGATCTTCCTGGGCTCATGAAAATTCTATATTTCTATGGAATATGAAAACCTTGCAACTAAGGCCTCGCTAGAATCTAAATTTCATGAGTTTTTCGGGTCCGCAGTATGTACTGTTATTATATAAGACTTATCCACTTCTTGGTGTTTACGTTTCTTAGTATATAGAATGTTTAGGACTAAAGTAAACTTGCCGGTTGGTCAGTAAGCTATTTTGGTGACTTTAATAATCCTCCAGACGTTAACAGACATTAATTCCGATACCAACCATTTAGAATCTATTCAAATGCCAAGTTTAGCTTAGGCTCGCCTCACGAAAAAAAAAACATGTTCAAGCATGAGGTGAAGCTAGTACACAACGCTGACGTGTTAGGAACGAAGTTTGACGTCAATATGGTCATAAAGAGCTGAGTACTGAACCTAGAAATGCAAAGCAGCCTAGAAATATGCCTCCCGCAGGCACACATTTATTACCTTCTTGACAATGTGAGTTGCAAAGAATTATGTGAAGCACAAGTTCGGTTGTGCCTGTGGGCCGCTCCAAGCAACAGCCTTTTGGACCAAGCTCTCACACGTCAAGCCTGGCCTCGGGTCGGGCTTGGGTGAGAAGAAGAAGAAGTCCCAGAACCCCATCAAGCAGGTATCAAGCGGATTCAAATCTTGCGTGCGTACCACCATCCTTACGGCTTGCGCCTTTTTCATATATCCGAGTTCTGGAGACGGCAGAAAACAGTGGCGTTTACAGTCCTACTTTTATGTATAAGCCGTGAACGGGTGGTCCACCAGTGGAATGCAATGAAAGAAGTTATGGAAGTGGCTTCCACAACTCTAAATGTAGATTCAACGAGGAATTGAAATATCTGGGTAACTCAGTTATAACGCAACAGGTACAACAAGGCAAGTAGGCGGGGGAAATAGAGTTAGACCTCAATATCTTGTAGACATTGATTATTAAGTAGTGATACGTTAGCACATTTTCCACCATCAAGAACAATAAAGTCGGCAGCCATAACATAGGGCGCTCAGCCGTTAACAGTCTCCTGCTGGCCATGCCTTTCTCATCGACATTAATTTCTAAAGGATGAATAGGCATAACAAGGTGGGGATTAATACGGTATTAACTATATCAACACACAATAGAACTCGAAACAATGGGTCTCAATTGGATAAGTTTAAATTTAGAAAAGACCTGGGTAAATACTGGTGTGGAAAGTGGGAGGTTGATTTGTGGAATAGATTACTGGATAACGTAGTAGACGCAGGATCACTTAATTGTTTCAAGCGTAGTTTAGACATATATATGAAGGAGTTTGGGTGGATATACATAGGCACTGTTAACAATGGGCCTTTTGCAGTTTCCTTAATTCTTATGGTGATGGCACAAGTGCCCTTCCCTCTGTTTCTGTTATCTGTCTCTCTTTGTCCCTGTCTTTATCTGTTTCCCTCTGTTTACCTGTCTCGTACAACTGAACTTTTCATTGTTCTAAAACGAGAAAGCAAATTTTCACAGGGTGTTGAGAACATGTTCTCTTCCGACAAATTGAGTAAACACAATGTCTATATAAAACACTTTTTGTTTTGCTCCGATTTTTTGTTATTCCTAACAACAAGAACCCTTTTTCTCTCTCTCATACACACGCACGTGTATGTGTGTGTGTGTGTGTGTGTGTGTATGTGTGTATGTGTGTATGTGTGTGTGTGTGTGTGTGTGTGTGTGTGTGTGTGTGTGTGTGTATGTGTGTATGTGTGTATGTGTGTGTGTGTGTGTGTGTGTGTGTGTGTGTGTGTGTGTGTGTGTGTGTGTGTGTGTGTACTCACCTATTTGTACTCACCTATTTGTGCTTGCGGGGGTTGAGCTTTGGCTCTTTGGTCCCGCCTCTCAACTGTCAATCAACTGGTGTACAGATTCCTGAGCCTACTGGGCTCTATCATATCTACATTTAAAACTGTGTATGGAGTCAGCCTCCACCACATCACTGCCTAATGCATTCCATCCGTTAACTACTCTGACACTGAAAAAGTTCCTTCTAACGTCTCTGTGGCTCATGTGAGTACTCAGTTTCCACCTGTGTCCCCTTGTTCGCGTCCCACCAGTGTTGAATAGTTTATCCTTGTTTACCCGGTCGATTCCTCTGAGGATTTTGTAGGTTGTGATCATGTCTCCCCTTACTCTTCTGTCTTCCAGTGTCGTAAGGTGCATTTCCCGCAGCCTTTCCTCGTAACTCATGCCTCTTAGTTCTGGGACTAGTCTAGTGGCATACCTTTGGACTTTTTCCAGCTTCGTCTTGTGCTTGACAAGGTACGGGCTCCATGCTGGGGCCGCATACTCCAGGATTGGTCTTACATATGTGGTGTACAAGATTCTGAATGATTCCTTACACAGGTTCCTGAACGCTGTTCTGATGTTAGCCAGCCTCGCATATGCCGCAGACGTTATTCTTTTTATGTGGGCTTCAGGAGACAGGTTTGGTGTGATATCAACTCCTAGATCTTTCTCTCTGTTCGTTTCATTAAGTACTTCATCTCCTATTCTGTATCCTGTGTTTGGCCTCCTATTTCCACCACCTAGTTTCATTACTTTGCATTTACTCGGGTTGAACTTCAACAGCCATTTGTTGGACCATTCACTCAGTCTGTCTAGGTCATCTTGTAGCCTCCTACTATCGTCCTCAGTTTCAATCCTCCTCATAATTTTTGCATCATCGGCAAACATTGAGAGAAACGATTCTATACCCTCTCTGAAGATCATTTACATATATCAGAAACAGTATAGGTCCAAGGACTGACCCCTGCGTACTCCACTCGTAACGTCTCGCCAATCTGAGACCTCACCCCTCACACTGACTCGTTGTCTCCTGTTACTTAGGTATTCCTGTATCCAACGGAGTACCTTCCCTTTCACTCCAGCCTGCATCTCCAGTTTTTTTCACTAGCCTCTTGTGTGGCACTGTGTCAAAGGCTTTCTGACATCCAAAAATATGCAGTCTGCCCACCCTTCTCTTTCTTGCCTTATTTTTTTTTTGCCTGGTCGTAGAATTCAAGTAACCCTGTGAGGCAGGACCTGCCATCCCTGAATCCATGTTGATGCTGTGTTACAAAAGTTCTTTCGCTCCAATGTTCCACTAGCTTTCTTCGCACAATCTTCTCCATCACTTGCATGGTATGCAGGGTTAGGGACACTGGTCTGTAATTCAGTGCCCTCCTGTCTATCCCCTTTCTTGTATATCGGGACTACGTTAGCTGCTTTCCAAATTTCTGGCAGTTCCCCTGTTGCCAGTGATTTGTTATACACCATGGAGAGCGGGAGGCACAGTTCTTCTGCTCCTTCCTTTAGTATCCAAGGGGAGATTCCATCTGGACCTATAGCCTTTGTCACATCCAATTCTAGTAAACACTTCATTCCTTTCCCCGCTGGTAATCTCAAACTCTTCCAGTGGTTCCTGGTTAGCTATTCCCTCTCTTATCTCTGGATTTCTCCTTGCTCCAAGGTGAAGACCTCCTGGAATTTCTTATTCAGTTCCTCACACACTTCCTTGTCGTTTGTAGTGAATCCTTCTGCCCCTAACCTTAATTTCATAACCTGTTCCTTTACTGTTGTTTTTCCTCCTGATGTGGCTATGCAGCAATTTAGGCTGAGTCTTTGCCTTGCTTGCGATGTCATTTTCGTATTGTCTTTCTGCCTCTCTTCTCATCCTAACATATTCATTCCTGGCATTCTGGTATCTTTCTCTGCTCTCCAGTTGTCCTGTTATTCCTATAGTTTTCTTCTCTTATGTGTGTGTGTGTGTGTGTGTGTGTGTGTGTGTGTGTGTGTGTGTGTGTGTGTGTGTGTGTGTGTGTGTGTGTGTGTGTGTGTGTGTGTGTGTGTGTGAGGAGGGAACTGATGGAATGATGGTACTCTATTTGATCTGGCCTGAACTCATCTGTAGGCTCGCTAGAGGTGTGTTTCTGGCTCCCTGAGGTGCAATTTTAACCAAGGTGGGGGAGCCAATCTCCAGTAAGAAAGGGGGTATTTTGCATCCCCCCGGAAAACACCGGTCCACCACCAGCATGTAACCTCTTCCCTGTAATCCTCCAAGACTTAATGTATGTGAATATTGTTGTGCTATTCCTCTTCTGTATGATTTTGCTTGAATACAGTCCAAGTGTTACGTCAGGTTTCTCTCTCCTTTCAAGCACTATCTTGGGATAAATATTCTTATATTTATATAATCATTCTTATATATTATATATATACAAATGCGAACAAGCTTGAATGGTTTGATACTTGAATAGTAGAGCAAGTATAATATATATATATATCTATTATATATATTATATATATATATATAATATATATATATATATATATATATATATATATATATATATAACTCACACCCCATTGTGAGTTTTCAGTTGTATATAGTCCCTGGGGACCATTCAGGGCTTGTTTACATATATATATATATATATAATATATATATATATATATATAATATATATATATATATATATATATATATATGTATATATATAATATATTATATAGTATATATATAATTTATATTTTATATATACAAATATAATACTTGGGATAAATGGGTTTGAGGAACTAAATCCCGCGCTAGCGAGAACAGTTCCCAATATAGACCCATAACCTTGGTCAAGAGAATAAATAACATTCGAGAGAGCC